GGAACAGGCCCTTCCCACCATGCATCTAGGGTCCTCCTCAAGCTAGGGGCACAAGGAGGCTGAGGGACATGTCCTGCTTCAAAGCCAGCAGGCCTGGGCCAGCACTTGCTGCAGCTGCAGTTCAGGAGCCGTCAGGCTCTTCAGCTGGGTGGCAGGAGCCTCTCTGCTGAGAGCCTTGGGCTCTTCAGGGACACAGCTCCTGTCTTTCTGCAACCTCCTGCTGCCCAGCTGGAGAGGGGGAAGGAAAGGGCACAGTCCGAAGCGCTGGTCCCTCACCTGCAGCGTCAGCGCCACGTTCTTCACGGCGCACATCTTCCGCGGGTGGAACGTCAGCAGAGCCTCTGCTTTCCCCTCGGCCTCCACAGTGCCCGTCTGAGGGGTAATGCTTAGGAACTGCTTCTGTGCTGGGGGGCCACAGAATTCCCAGGAGAAGGTGAAGCTCAGCTTCCCGGTATTGCTGATGGTGAAGATGTTTTGAATGTTTTCATTGAGCTCCACCTGTGGGAAGGCAGCAATAGGGACTAGTGGTTACAGCACCTGGGAAGCACCAGCCAGGATCTTCTACCATCAGCTAATGACTTGCTCTGGAGAGTGGATTCTACACATAAATGAGGGAAAATGTCCTCTCCTGTTCAATTATATTTGCTGAGCTTTAAACTCAGGCTTGGTCTTGCAGGGTTCCTTGGGACAAGCGGTTCGGGGAAGCAGCGCCGCTCACCTTCCTGAAGTTAATGATGTTGATCTCCTGGGCACTGAGCTCAGCGACACAGCCCTCTCTGTCCTCAAACCTCACACACATGTTCATGCTATAGGCGGTGGCCTTGATGTTCAAGGAGAGGGGCTGGGGCTTCCTCTTGACATCACATATGAGGCTGAAGGCCACCTCTCCTTCCAGGAATGGTAGGAAGGAGATGGTGATGGGACACCTGGGGAGAGAAGACCTTACTGCTCAGTTCACTGCTTCTTACAGCTTTCCTGGCCTCATACTGGCGAGGCATCAGGCCTGGGAGAAACCAGAAGCAGCACCCCGCTGTACTGCTGCCTTCCACCGTGGAGCAAGTCCTGCTATGAGCAGACTTAGGCCTGACTACTACACTAAGCAATGAAGTGATACCAGGTGAATGGGAGCACAGCTTACACACATGGAGCTGTGGGTTTGGGAAATCAAACACAACAAAAACATGCTGTTGTCATCAAAATCAGAAGCTCTAACCCTGGATTTCTCCAGGAAGAGGGCTGAGAAGGCCAGATTACCTAGACACAGCTATTGTACAGAGACAGCAGCAATGGAACCACGTCCCCCTTTGGGAAAAGGATTAAGCAAGACAAAAGCTACTGCTGAGAGTCCCCTGGTGACCGCAGAGAGGACCCCCTCCACAGGAGACCCGACGGGGCGACGTCCAGCGCCTGGGAACGTGGCTGCGAGCTCGCAGCGGAGCCCGGTACCTGGAAAGGGCTGCCACGGAGCCTTCCCGGGGCTCCACGGCCAAGCAGGCGTTGCAGGCCTCGGGGAAGAAGGAGCTTTCTCTGAATGCGAAGCTGAAGGCCTCCTTCTCGCTGTTGATCATGTGGATCGTCTGGTACATCTCGTGCCCTGGGGCAAGGAGAGGGCATCAGCTGAAAACCCTCAGTTTCTCTGGCAACCAGGCCACAGCACACAGCACCTTCCTGCCAGCCAGCTGAGCCTGGCAGGCAGTTTGCACGGAGCAGGACACGGACACACAGCCTGTGACCGGGGCCTGTCCGCCGGGGCGGCTCCACCACTCCCAGCTGCGCACACTGAGCTGGAATCCAACTGCCCGGCTTTCTGGGATGAACGAGCTGTGAAGTCTGGCATGTTTTAGAAGATGATTCAAAGAAACCATCCTCAAAAGGCCTAACCCCACAATAGTTTTGCCTCTGCAAGAAGTGAGATGCTGCCTAGCTGGTCAGGATTCCCCAGGGATTCTTCAGGTGAAGGCTTTTGGTGGCAGCGGAAGGACCACTGTCTTCAAGGACATCACTTCCAGGACAGGGCAGACCCCATTTCCAAGATCCCTGTGCTCTACACCACCAGACAGTGACACGGGGACTCTGCCAGACTGCAGTGGCTCAAAGTGGCTCACAGGCACACACGCTTTGGTCCTCTCCAGGATCCTCTGCCCTCTCCACAGCTCTTCCCTTGGAAACAGCCCCAGCTACATGCCTTCCTCCCTTCCTCTCCCTCGAGTGCTGACCAATCTGCTCTCAAGTGCTCGTTCCCACTTCCAGCTTCCTCTTTAGAGCCTGCCAGAATGACAGGGCTGCTGGGGGAGGACGTATCTGCAGCGCCCTCCCTGCACTACTCACCGACTAACAGCGAGTGGAAGTTCAGGTGGGACCTGTCCAGAGACACGAGTGGGTCAGTGGCATGGCCCACCAGCAGGAACGGGATCGAAACGCTCTGCTCGGGGATTGTAAAGAGCCAGAATGATTCTGTGATGCCCAGGTGCTGAGGGATGAATTCAAACTTGATCTGGGGGAGAAAGAGGCAAATGAGAGGGAGCTATAGCCCAAAACAGGAGTAAAGTGAGGGGGATGTAACAGAGAAACCCCAGAGTAGCTCCATCTTATCTCCATCTGAGAAAAGCTCAGAGCTGCCAGCTCTGAGAGATCTCTGTGCCACTAACAGCCCAAACACATCAGAAGTGGCACAGCAGGAGAACAGTTTTCATATTCTGCCAGGTCGTTACTCTGTAGTCAAAGGTTTCCTCAGGCCTTTGGCTAAAGCTGGCCTGGGGTGCCCCAAGAAGTGCAGATGCAGCAAGTGTCAGTGTGACACACATGTAAACTGGACCCGCCTTTGCCTTTTTGGTACCCACCTCTGCTTTCTTCTCTGGCAGGATCTGACCTCTCTCTGTGAGGCAGGAGAAAGCTGGCTGCTCTTTTGGTGCTTCAGGGTCTTGGCAAGTCCACTGGAAGGAATATGTGGAGCTGGTTGGGTTCATAAGCATGAAGGCCCTGGGCACACAAAGCAGAGATGACTTCTGAGGTGGGATGAGATATCAACGCTGCCCTGTAGCACCCATCAGGCCCTGGCAGTCCCGGCCGTGATCTGGGAGGGGTTGTCAGGCATGGGCAGACAACACTTGGAGCACGGATGTTTCCTCTGCATCTTAGGAACCCTGCTTGCCAGCTGCTCTTCTTGAAGGAAGGGACAAAGAGAGCAAAAATGGCCAACTGGTCTTCACTGACCAGCTTGTTCCAGCCTCAAAACAGGCTGGTGGCCAAGTGGCAGCAGCTTACGGACAAGGTACAGCTACATTTTGGGGGCTTGGAAGAGGAGCTAGAAAGGTCTCTGATTAAGAGGGAGGTGATCAGGTAACTACTGACAGGAGAAACGATGTCCACACTTACCTGCTGTTCCTGCTACACACTCCAACTGCTGAAAACTCAATCACTCTTGTTTTGGGATCTAACATTGTCCCCTTCGGTCCCCGCAAGTCTGGGTTGCGTCTGTTTGCAGTGATGTAGTCAGAGTCTTCCAGTTCGAAGTGGCAATGTGGCAGCAGGCTTCTCCCCCTCACCACCACTTCTGGGCCCTTCTGGTTTGGCTTCAGATTAGGAATGCTAGGAAGAAAGGGACCAGTATTAGCTGGGCTATTCCAGCCAGCCAGTTCTTACCAACTCACAGAGCAAGCAGTGTTGCATTCTCACTCAGTGCAAGCATTGATCAAACTCCCCATCACAGAGGTAGCAGAGGCGGAACAGCAGAAACAGAGATATTTGCCTATCCAGAGAGCAGAAGCAGCCCATCAGTTTTTATATATATAAGGATACTGTGCTAGTCAGATAAGGAGGAATCACTAGGGACTAGCTGGCCCCTTGACAACCTTTGAGCATCTTCCAGTCCAGATTTTGCAGCCTGTGGGCAACCTTGAACACATCTCCAAACGCCAGTGTCTAAAGATCTACACCTCATGGGGCTGGAGGGATTCCCCAAAGCTGCCCAGAGATGATTCGAGTCACAGCTCTCCACAGATAGGGCACAGAAGAGACTCTGGAGTTATCTTCCACCCTTCTGAAAAAAAGCCTTTGTAAAAATGCCGCAGAGGGGGGTTAATATTTCATAAAACGTCTTTTCCCAGTGTCTCTGTACCAGCTTCTACCAAGCCAGATGATCCTTTCCATCTGCTTCCGTGCATTGGTTGTTTCTGCTGGTCTCTCCAGGTCTGCGTTTGCACCCAGCTGGATCATGGGCTGCTCACGCGCAGTGCGAGTCTAGAAGTGACCCATCCTCAGCATCCCCTACCTGCAGAGCATGCAGCTCTCAAACTCCCCCACGTCCACCGGAGAGAATTTCATCTGGAAGAGCTGCTCCTGACCGGCAGGGATGGTGCCGCTGCAGGGCTCTACGGCGAACTGCGGCCTGGTGTCCACGGTGCTCAGGGAGGAGCAGGGAGAGGAGGAGAGTCGCTGCGGAGCGCAGCTGGGCTGGCTGGAACAACGGCTGGTCTGGAGCTTCACACACACCCCAGACACGGACGAGCGGAGGTCTCCTGTGGCGAGGAACAAGTTTGTGGGACATGCTTCCAAGAAAGAAACTCTCTGCTCTCACCACCTTTCCCTCCTGCTTAAGGAGAGAGAAGGGAAGCTGGGGTGTACCTGGCCTAAAGCTGCTGGCAGGAAAACTCTCCTACCAAATGCTTTCAGCCGGACGATTCCCACAGAGGAACAGTAAGAGCTGGCGGGTCACTTACTGCTTTCTAAATCCCAGAAAGTCTTCGGGATAGGTGGAAAAGTGAGGACAGACACCAAGGAGAACTGGGGTGTGTCTGGGGGACACAAATCTACGGAAGCAGCCAGGAGAGACTCAGAGAACTGCTTATTTCAAAAGCTACCATGGAACATCACTGTGCAAGAGGCGTGGGTGAAGGGCAGGAAGCCTATGTTAATATAACAAATGAGCTCAGGAGTGCAGCTCCCACTGGGAGGGAGTTAAACATGGTCAGGACTGGGCTGGACTCTTCCTTCTTGATCCACCAGGTCAAGAAGGATATCAGGATGCCTGTGCTGGGAAGCGCGAGGGATGACAGACCTCCTCATTCCTATTTCTGCTGAGAAGTTTTAGAGACACAGCCTTGACTCCTCTCAGGAAACAGCTGTGCTCCCATGTGCTCAGACACAACCGCACTACTGCAAATTTAATGAGTCACTCCCCAGCCACCAAGAGCACCAAGAGCATCTCAGCTTGCAGCAAACCCTGCTGTGATGGTCAGGAAGGTTAATTTTAGACAGTGACTTTGCACTTGCACTGGCCTGAGGAACCGCCCGCAGGCAGTGACTGCAGGGAAGCTGATGCACAGTAACTCATTCCACCACGGCGCTCTCTGCCCTGCTTTTCCCAGTCCCTGAGACTTCCCAGGCAGATGTCCTGATGCTCCAGGTCTTGACCTACTGCCTGGCTCTGCCCCAAGCCAGGTTTGAGCTCAGCCTGGCTCTGCTCCTATGCCAAGCACTAGCATCAGAGATGGTCTGAGAGGAAGAGAGGTGCAAGGAGGAAGGCTGCAGCTGCAGTTTGGAAGGTGTTGATGGTGCTGGAGGCCTGGACGACTGAGAAGAGGCAATTTCCTGCTCTGGGATGAACTGGCTGGTCTTTTCCTCGAGCGCTCAGCAGCTGGCTGAAACCCCAGGCAACCCCAGGTAGCACACAGAGGCAGTGCCTTACTTTCAGGACTGGTGAGGAACAGTTCCCCAGTAGAGCTGGCTGCTCTTTTATCCTCCACGTCTGCCATCCAGGCGTATTCCAGGGCCACATTCCCTGTGTTCAACAGTGGGAAGCTACAAAACAATAGGACAGGAGAAAAAAAGAAAATAATAATAATATTAAAAACATGCTATAAATGCTGAACAAGCAGAGAAATAACATTGTAGTGTGGGCTCCTGGCACTCCTTCCTTTGGGGAAGGACAGACTCCTCAGCATAAACAGCTGTGCTGTGTCCAGGTTGCTGCCCTGAGCTGCCTGGAGACAAAATATTTACATGTTTGGGAGCTAGGAGGGTCCAGACATGCTGCCATGTGGCATATTCCAGCCTTGTTCCTCAGTTAAACATTATTTGATTGCAAGCTTCTCCTCAAAGATAGGCTCTAGCAACAGGCACTGCAGAGTGCAGCATGGCTCTGGCCGCAGACCTGAGTCTCCCGGGACAAAGGCATCCGCCACTCACGTGAATGTCCTTGTCTGGAAGAGCAAGGTGTCCTTGAACTGAATCGTGTCTGTATCCAGCTTGAACTCGGCGTAATCCACGACAGCGCTGAGGTGAAGTTCCACCTCGCGGCCGCTTTCTTCCTGGACAGTATGTGCTGGTTCTGGGTCTGTCTCAATCACCTCCAAGGGGAACAGAGAAGACCCACTGAGCAGAGCCCGGAAGGCCACACCGAGTTAGGAGTCCTTTGGGTCAGATACTGGGAGCGAGGAAGGACTGCTCCCGTTTATTTCCTTGGAAGACAAAATCTGACCATTGCTCCCTCTCAACCAAAGCCAGGGTGAAGCATGAGCAATGGGGAATGCACCCGTGGGGAGCGTGACTGGGTGCCAGTCCATGTGCTCCAACCCTGGAGAGCCTCTGATCTTTTTCCTTCCTGCCCAGAACAGATCCACCAGGCCTCTAAATTTGGATTAAGCTCCCCTGATGGAGCTCTGTAGATGCAGAAGTCCCACAACATATAAGGCTCAAAAGCACCTTTTTCGTTTTGTGCTAGAAAAAGGTTATTCTCTGATGTAATCTTTGCAGCACTATCCACATTGGGGCAGACAGGCGTTTTGGGATGAGAATGAACTCACTAAGAAAGTCTCTGATTGCTGGTGCCCTGATGGAGATACTATGTGATGGAATCAGCTGATAAGACTCCTATATGACTGCCACAAAATACCTGGGCATAACGAGATCTCCCCCGTGACACAGGAATCACAACTGAAATGTGAGGTATCCTGCAGGGAGAGCTCACCCACAACGTGCCAGCACACGAGCCAGCATACACAGAAAGGAGCTAGTGTCGTCCTTCACCTCAAAACAAGCACACTGCTTTTAACTCCTCTTTGGTGGAAAAACAAACAAACAAACAAAAAACCCCACTGAATCAGATGAAGAGATTTCAGCACTAATTAAATCACCTTAGGAATCTTGAAATGTGACCTGCCATACAACACTGGCTGCAACACTTTCAGCACTGCTTTTGGCTGATACCAACAGCTCGCACCTGACTCCAGCATCTTTTGTAGAAAGACTTTGCATCTCAATGGATATCAGGTGGCCATGTATCCAACTCTTCCCTGTAATGCTCTGCTGGTTAAACTCACTGATATATTAAATTTCAGCAGAAAACAAGATGTGCTTAGCCAAGCAGAGAAGGTGACCAGCTGCCATGGGCACCTCTGTTCTTGCAGCCTACATTAGCACTTGCTCTTTTGCTTCTTACCTTCTTCTTGACAGGCCGCATGGTGCCCCTCGTGGCATCCACCCACTTGACAGTGTGCAGGCGGTCATCCCAGTCAGGAACCTGCTCTGCTGGCAGCTGGAAGGCGATCCTAGCCACCTTACACTTCACAGGCAGCTTTTGGAAGGTGACTGCAACGTCTGATTTCAAGGTCACGGTGATGTCCTTGGCACAGCCAGCATGGAGGTGTCCCACCTACAGAGGACCAGGCACTCAGTAACAAACTGGAATCACTAGCAAGGACATGACTGGCAGCAGAGGGATTGATACAGTGAACAACTTTGCCAGAAATTCTTCACTTCGGTATTTATCTAAGGTAAATTCAGGACGTCTGTCACCTAAGCTTATTTACAAGCCGGATAAGGGTGGTCTTTACTTCCCAAAATAATCCCTGAACCAACAGGGAAAGCATCTGTAGGGACAGGACTGAGGAAGGAACCGGGGTTCATTGAGCTGCCCACACGAACCTGAGGGGAGAAGTGGAATGGGCTGCTTGCCAGCCACTCGAACCGCATCGCCTCCACGGTGCTGTGGTTGGTGATCGTGAAGGTCACCTGGTAGGGCGCCCCAACGTGACAGCCCCCAAACTGGATGTGATCCGCTCTGGCAGCTGTTAAGAATGAGAGCAAGGGATCTCAGTGTGCAGTCATGTCCATCCGTCCCCCTCATCCACACAGACACATTCTGTTCATAGCCCCACGCCTTCCTTCCTCTGGAAGATGCAGTTGTTCATCTCTCCCTCTGCACATAGGAGGTGCCAATGACTACCAGAGTCAGGTTGGTGACAATGCAGCCCTCGGTGTGCACAGGACATGCCTTCTCATACACATATAGTCTTCATCTCCCTAGGATGTGGTGTGCACAGGACATGCCTTCTCACATATAGTCTTCATCTCCCTAGGATGGGCTGACAAATGCTTTTCCCTTAACACAGGATTTTCTGCCCTGTTTTCTCAAGTGTGGCTGTTCTGCAACCTGCAAAAGGCAGCAGGATCTATTGACTGAGGCTGGGCCCATCTGCACTGGCACAGGACAAATATAACCATGTATTTTCCTCTTCCTTACCCCATCTCAACAGCTGCTCTTCTCTTACCCTCAATTAGGTCTTCCTCCAGATTGCTTTCTGTGTCCTCCTCATTGCTATCTGCCACTAGCCCATGGATGTTATCGAGCGTGAAGTCATCCTGGTAGCCTTCACCCACCAGCTGAATGTTGGTCTCCTCATAAGGGTTGTCCACTATGGACAGGCGGATCCTCCCTTCCACACGCTGGGTCAGGTTGGGTGTGAAAAGCACATCAAACTCTGCAGACTCCTCGTTATGCAGCAGCAGGGAAGCTGTGTGAGGCTTCCTCCCTGCAAGGCAGTGGAAGCCAGGGACAAGTGATCCAGCCATATGGAAGAAATATTCCCATGGGGCATAAGAGGAGAAATATGTTGAAATCCAGCTGCTCTAAACCCAGATTCTCCCAGCAATGGCTCCAGACTCTGCACCTATGTTAACAAGACTATGATGACACCGAGCTTGTTGTTGCTAAAGTATCTGAACTGAGACACACGTTTGCCCCACACATTTTGGCAGGACACACATCTCCCCACTCTGGATGATCTAAGCACGCTTCATGGTTAATACATGTACCTTCTCCAGCAGAGTCTGCGTTGCAGTCCTTTGTGTCTGAAGCCTGGTAGATGCAGTGCGTGGTGGGCCTGGCTTTCAGGGAGAAAACGCCCTCTTCATCCAACAGATCTATCAGCACCTGAGCAAAGGGAACACAGAGCATGACTGTGCTGGTGTGGATATGGGACACTATGAATCAACAGCGTACTGGCTGCTGGTCCACTGGGAACCCAACACTTCATTTCAAACAGAAACTCTGAGCATGAAGTTTATACAAAAACAGACATTAAAAAATGTGTTTGAAGGCAATGGAACAGAACGTAATTAACACACAACCATTTGGGACAGAAAGTATTAAAAAGTAATGAATAAAATGTAATTAAACCACAGCTGAGTTCAGTTAGAACGCAGTGAAATGTCATCAACTAAAATGTAACACGTGCCCCCCAGGAGAACCAAAAGGCAACTGCACACACAGTGCAGCAACACCTCCGTGCAGCTCTACCATGTTCTGCAGGGCCTTTCCCTCATTGGCGAGGACTTGTTCCCTCATGGCACGGAGCACTCCCCAGGCAGGTCCTCACCTGCACGGGGATGATGCCACTGTTCTGGAGGATCAGGGGGAGTTTCTCCGAATCACCCAGCAGCAGCTTCTTAAAGAGCAGCAGAGGGTTCCCCTGCTTGTTGTGAAGGACTGGGCGCAGGATGTTCACCCGTGGCAGATTCCCATCGCCGCTGATGGTGAACGTCAGACTTTGTGGCTTAAACACTGCAGAGCTGCAGGAGGGGCAGAGACAAAACTGTTATAGCTGGAGCAAAGCCCTTTCCCATGGGGCAGGCAACAGAGAAGGTGCTGCCCACAGGGTGCTCCTTGGCTGGCACAGCAGCACGCACTCTTGCACCCGCCACACAGCTCCCCCTTCTCCCTTCCACTCAAATTAGGGTCATTCACAAGAGTTCAAATAATTTGCTTTGGAGAGACTGTGCCTTCCAAAGTAACAGTTACAAATTATTTTGCTTCAGTCAAAATTTCACTTAGACCCATCGAAATTCAGTGATTTATGAATTTGAGGAGAGCTGGTTAGAGCCACTGAACACAACAGAGGACTGTCCCAAGTCTACATCCAAGACCATCAGATATGATCTTCTCATCTTAACACAAAAAGGTGGAAATAATCTAGCCTAGACAAGGTGGAAATAACAAAGTGGCTTCATCCAACCTTTTGCCCTTGGAGAGCCCCAATTCAGCTGTTTCATAACTCCAAGTTTTTTTTCCTGATTCACTCCCTTCTGATCGGCTACCCAATGTTAAGCTGTGTTCATAGTTACTCAAACAGACTAAACTATGACTCATATTCTTCTATGTTATAGCTAGGAGTTACTGCTTCCTGTATTATCTAATGCTAAATTCTCTAAGCCTACTAAAAGGTTTAGAATTAATGACAAGTTCACACCCTCCCAGAAGAAGGTGCACTGTCAAAACGGTCATCCCAGGATTTCACAGCACGGATTACCTTGCTGGGACATCAAGGGAAGCCTCAAAAGTGCACTGGTAGTTCTGCATCGCCTGCGGAGTGAAGGTCACCGTAGCAAAAGCGTGGGAGCGACTGGACACACACATCCGAACGGGATCCAGCTCGAAGACGTCGCCAGTCGGGGTGCTAAGCTTGGGGGAAGCCACAAAGGCTGCGTTAGGGGGAACACCCTTCAGCACGATGCGGTCTTACCCCTCATGGGGAACAACTCCAGTGTCCTTCCAGCTCCAGAGACATTCTTGTCCACCTCGGGGTGAACCCAAAGCGGTGTTGCCCTTTCCCATGAAGCCCAGGAGCAACTGCTTGCTCTGAGCTGGGAATGTCAGCAGCCATCTCAGCATATATGAGGGGTAGGCACTGTACAGAAAAACATGTAAATAATCTACAATAGGCCTCTAAAACGAAGGAAAAGACCACAAAGTCTCATGAAATGACTTGCTTTGAGCTCTGGAAGGTCGGCACAACAATGACCCACCTGGACTGTGCTACCTCCAAGAGACATTTCACCAAGTGGTTCTGGACTCCCACTGCAGACCCAGAACGTTGAGCCAAAAACTTGCTCGAGACGTGCTGAATCCAACCTCACTGCCACCCCCCGGTGCTCTGCCCTATAGTTCTGCTTGCACCAATCACACGGCAGTAGAAGTCATCGTGTCTGGAGGATGGTAGCCAGACTGGCCCTGGAGTCAAGCAGACTCTTGGCTTAACCATGTCCCAGCATTTGACAGCAGAGGAAAGAGATTGGGTGCTGCCACCAAAAGGGTCTGTAGCACTGTTCCACTGCAGGAGCTGGTGGCTCCTCTTCTCTCTCTGAGCTCACGCAAGAGAAGGACAATTCTTTCATCGTTCCTCTGCACACCTTGCGCACCTGCCTCAGGAGAGAATGAGAGGCCCCAAAACACAGGACTGGCCCAAGCAGAAGTCTGCTCTTGTGGTGCTCTTGTTCTAAGCTGGACTAGACTGAGCAAGGTGAAGCAATAAATCTGGAGAACAAAGCAGGCTGCCATGAGGTCTTAAAAGAACAACAGTCACCGTGGGCTTAGTCTTACCTTACTGGGGATGGGTTTGATGGAAAGAACCACTTCGCAAGAGATTTTATCCACGTTACAGATCTTGAAGCGAGCTGTGGCTTGGTGCCCAACCAGAACGTTGGTGAAGATGAACGTGTTCTCATCTGTGACAAACACACCCTTGTCTTGCACCGTCTGCAGGATGTGGCAGAGGTTGGTGTTGCTGCAGATACGATGCTCCTCAAAGATGGATGCTATGTCATCAACCACGAACGCTGTGAGCAGACAAGAGGGAAGGCTGAGGAGGAGAATTCATCTGGATTTTGCTGGCCTCAAAAGGGCTTGACAAGCCCTTTCTGTGCAGATCACTGAAATACCCACCACGGAGGAGGGAGTTGGCTCTGAGGATGAAGCCAAGTCCCCCTCCGTCTTCAAAAGTGTTTTCCTTTCATCCTTTCAACATATCCCTCCTCGCCTCTTCCCAAAGGGACTGCGTCCCCACTTTGAAAGACATTGGCTTGAGGATTTTAAGATGGGACTAGAGCATCCGTGTGTCCTAGCAGTGAGTCTGGGTGCTGACTGGCAGCAAAGTCAGGCCACAAGTACCTCAGGATGGGGTGTACGGATGTACCTGGGAAGCAGGATTCAGCAATCAGGGTATAGGAGATCCCAGCAGGATTGTCCTTGGGATCTCTGTCGCTGATATCGATGGACAGATACTCTTCACATATCCCCAGTGCATCTGTGTAGCAATCCACCGTGATCACCTGATGGCCCCCAGGAGCAATGGACCCAAAGCCAGGGTACACCGTGAACGTGCCCGAAGAGAGGCGAGCCTGCAGAGAGAGTCCCAGCAGAGCCTGGGGTCTGTCCCCTTGGGCACTTCAGCATCCCTGGCAGGATGCTCAGCCTCCAGCCAAGCCCAGGCACCCATCCCAGGGCAGTGAGAGGTGACTCTACAGCCCAGAGACAGCCCTGGCTTGACATGGACCAAGTGGGAAGAGGCACTGGAATGAGCCAGCACACAGATTTGCCTCAGACAGAGCAGTGAAGCTCCTGGGGGAGCTCCTGGTGGGAGACAGTGTCTTTAGCCCTGGTCTCAGGGTCTCCAGCTGCCCTCGCTGGGCCCACATCTCACCCTGTGGTGACGAGCCCTCAGCTTGGGCAGCCAGGGGCCCCCCACAGCAGCTGCAGGCACCCACCTGCGAAAGGGGGTTCCCGTCCTTCTGCAGAGCCTCGATTTGCTTGCTTTGCCTCACAGAGAGGTTTTTGTTGAAGCTTTCACTTTCGTGGGAGTGGGTGTGCTTCACTGCCGATATGCTGGCAGGAGGAAGCAGAAAGACCTGTCACACTGGGCTCCCCACACCACTCTCCAGGGCCAACACCGACCTGAGGAAAGCCCTCCTGCACACACGCTCCTGATGGCTCCAGAAGGGCTGCCTGCAGCACCTACTGCTACAGGTTACAGCTAGACCAGCCATATCATTAGCTTTGCCCTATATATGGGGATACTGAGGCACAGAGAAGGACTTTTCTTTTTCTGTCCCCTATTCAGAAGTCGGTCACGCAAATGGACAAGAACGCAGGGGCAGAAAGGGTGGCACAGGTCTTCTCTTACCCTTTCCGTGGCAAGACAGGCACATCCCGGCTCGTTTTGGAGATGAGAAACTTAAAATCGAGGTTGCCAATGTTCTCCAGCAGGAAGGTGCAGCTTTTCTTGGTGCCGCTCATCATGGGGCCAAAGTTGATGAACGAGGCCGGGGAAATGTTGTACTTGCTGTAGAGAGCCTTGGCCGACACCCTCACTGGGATGATGGCAATGATCTCTCCCTCGCTGAGGCTGGGCTCAATCACCTGCCACCGAAGCGGGGCTTGGTCAGGAGAGCCAAGGAGAGCCATGTGCATGAGAGCACGTGTGAGGCGGCGCTGGGTTTCCAGCTGCACCCTTCCTCTCACAAGACACGTGTCCTGCTGACACCCGTGGTGCTCCAGCTTGGCGCAGGTACCTCACCTGGCATTTCAGGATGGGCTTGTCCTCAATTTTCATCTCCCTCTTGGGGTGGAAGAGCATCTGGACCTGCACAGGGCGCTCGGAGGCGGCCAGCACACCCTTCTGCGGCTGCAGCGTGAAGTGTGAGGCCAAGTCGGGGATGTTGGTGCCCACAGCATCCAGTATGAAGCTGAGAGGAAGGCAAGGAATAAAAACCCCTCCACTGAGAAGTGCCCAGGCAAGTAGTGCACTCAGGAAGCACCATAGGATCATTCAAATATATATTATATATATCTAGTCCAGCTGAGCTTGAGTAATTCACAGACTGGAATCAAGATCAGGCTTTGACACAGATTGCAGACTATGAAGAGTGCTTTAAACTCAGTTGGATATAGATTTCTTCCATTTTCCCCCTCAAACAATATAATTAGGACAAATATGCAGACCCTCAGAGTAAGGAAACCGAAGCAGGGGGAGATTTAAATTTCAGCATCTCTGCTTTTGGTTCCTGCTGGACAGTGAAGATTGCTGCTGTCTGGCTGGGTTCTCCAGTAGCATATGAGATTAGAGAGCCCAAGCTTAGTGCCTACCCAGACTGGGAGCAAGGCAGCACGGGAGGTTTGGGCTGTGAGAACAAGGGCAATGCAAGCCTGCGCGGGCGGGCCGCGGCATCCCGCACGTACGCGGTAACTTACTTGTATGCAATCTCATACTTCCCCTTGTTTTTTAGATTCAGCGTTGTCTTTGCTTCATCCATAACTTTAATGATCCCAAAATCCAGGTTACTATCTACAACTGCAAAAACCCCAGAGATCAAGGTGAGAAAGGGTGAATATTTGAGCTGCTGTAGAACAGACCCAGTGACAAGATACCTATTTAAAGTTCTAAAGTGGCACAAGGCCCTTCCCAGCAAGTTTAATTTCCAGGAAGTTGCCTCTAGCTGTTTTCTGCCCTTCCTCTTACGCAGAGGACACCTGCAGTGCTCAGCAGCTCAGCTTCCCCACCTTGGCTTCCAAGCAGAGATCCAACAACGCTACATGCTGTGCTGAGCCTTCAGGAGTTGCCAACTGCTTGGGCATATCACTGTTGCTTCAAGGTACCCAAATGAATCAGCACAGCCTTATTTTGATTAAAAAAACCCACCTCCTAAGCAGGCAGTGCAATGTGAGACAGCTGGACTACTTTTTAGGGGGGTACCCACTGACCTTTGGGAAAGGTGATGTTCAGAGCAACGTCGTAGGCCTCCGCCACGATTTGGATGTTTTCTACCTGAACAATCCCCAGGATGTTTTCTGTATCTGAAACCTGAGAAGCAAACAGTGATTAGGACAAACCCTAGCGAAGGGGATCTCACTGAAGGCCCATCCCTTTGCCCTGTTTGCAGGCGACCCTTCAAGTACAGAATCTCCAACCTCCTAAGAAAAGGTAGCTGAGTTGGGCTGATGGCTCTGCCCTGCTTTGCCAGGGACAGAGTCTCCACCTCACCTCCAATCGGATGGTCTTCTTCACACTGACAGCCTTCGAGGCCTTGAAACGTATCTGCAGCCTAAACTTCGTATAGGGGCCAATGATGCCGTGCTCTTGGGACACGGAGAAATCCTCGCCGAGGCTCTCCACCCCGCTGAGCTTCCAGACCGCAGGCAGCGGGGTGCTGTTTTGCAGGACCAGTGTCTTGCTGTCCTTCCTGCAGAGATAGCAGGGTGCTCAGCACTGCTCCCTCGAGGGTCACTGTGAAAGCAGCTTAGGGGCAGCCCTATCACGTGTATGAAGTCATGCAACCTCACAGCAGTTAACCGTCTTCTATTGCAACATCTGAGAGGGGGTGGTTCAGAGCCAGGGGCCATCATGGCAAACCCACTGGCACAACCACTAAGGAACGGCCAGCAAGAATGGGAAGAGCTGCAGAAGGAGGGATGTCAGCGCAGCCTCCAACCCAAGTAGCCACACAGGTCACAAGTGACACCAGAGGACCTTGCCAACTGCTCTTGTCCAAGATGGGGTGGCCTATGGGGTGACCAACCTGTGTAGAAGCAGCTTGTCAAAATGCAGCAGTTTGCAGCTGACTCCCAGCTCCAGCTTCACTCCTTGGCAGCAGAGGCGGAAAACCACGGGCTCAGGGTTGTCCTTGATGCAGCAGACAAGGTTGTCCTCCACCATGCCCGAGGAGGTGGGGTAGGCCCAAAGGGTCAGCTCCTGGCCCAGTCCCGAGGGAGAAGCACAGAAAGTCTTTCAGCGAGCAGGAGGAAGGGCTGACGGGCACAGCAACCTGCCTTACCTGCCCTCTCCTACCTGCTTCTCATTCGCCTTCAAGGTCAGGTGGGGAGGCTCGAAGAGGAACGTGTCCGCGCTGGCATCGTGCTCCAGGAAGAAATGCACCTCTGCTTCCAAGGGGGTCACGTTGAGGATCGTTATCTTCTCACAGTTACTGGGGTAGCGGTGCGCCTTGTACCTGCCCGCGAGAGGACAGCGAGCTGCAGCAGAGCCCCGGGCACGCTGCCTTCTCCACGCAGCAGGGTGACACTTCTACCCTTACGTAGGGGTCTGCACCACCGCCAGGTGCCCTCGTTGCAGGTGCATGACACTGGTCACTTAAAGAAAGAGCCTTTTGCAAAATAAATATTCTGGGGTGGCTGGAAAATAAGGCAGGCTCATGGGTGTCTTCCCCCTCTTTGCGTTTGGTTTGCTTCCCTGCAGGGTATGAAGAAATGCTTTTGAAAAAAGGTTTTAAAAATAGCGTAGCTTTTGTGCTTCAGAAAAGTCAAGCCTTACATTTCTGGGC